AGGGTGGGTAGGTGGGCTTAAAATCTCGGCTGGGGGGTTTTTGGGGCCTGATGAGTTGTAATTATACATGCCAATTGAATTACTTTCTGACAAAATCTTTGGAGAGGTCTCACTTTAGTTTTGAGTGAATGAGTGAATGGTGGTTTTGATCTGGAGGGATACAGAGAGGAGAGAAAGAAGGGGTCCAACAAGTGGGGGGAGGGGCTCCTCGACGCGTAGGTGGCGCGTCGACCGGGGGTTGTTTACATTTTCGGTTTGACCCCATTCTCATTTTTCTGCCGCCCAGGGGTCAGGGGTCGGGGTCAGGGGTGTGGTTCCTCACCGGCCACTCCTTGTTTTTTTTTTGTTGTTTTTGGGGATGTGTTTTGAGTTGGAGGGTTGACTACCATTTGTAACTTGCTGAGATGGTAAATCTAGATTTGGAAAGGTAAGAGCAAGAAGAAAGTGCGGGATTATTGGGGGCGTTGTTGCGGGGGGAGGTTTTGTTCACCGCTTGAGATGGGGAAATGTGATCAGCCAGCTAGCTCATTCTTCTTGACAGAAATCTCGCGATAAAATTGGGATTAATGATTGTGATCAAGATGTATTCTTCAGCGGTCCGTATACATCTATCAAAATACACATGTGTCTGTCTCATATGTATACCCAACCACGGCACAGGTGTCAATCAAAGTGGGCCAACGAGAAATCTGAGGCTTCACCAGTTGTGGCACTTACACGCCGATTCATGCTGGTCCGTGCCCAGACAAGCATGTCCTGCATGTTCTCAAGTGGGTCTTGCCGTTCGGAGCTAGCTAACGGGGTACACTGCCAGTCTTATCGGAAGGTTCCTTATCGAAACGTGGGTGTGTGTGTTCCGGAAAGGGATTCTGCCGTCATCTGGTTCAGGTGCTGTTGCTGTGCCTGATCGACTGTTGGCGTGGCCCAGGAAGCACAGCACAGCTCAGCTCTGGGGAGGGAGCTTCTGTTTGCTGTCTAATCCTTTGACACACTACCTACCACCTAGATAGCTATCTACATTTTTCATCACCCAAGCTGTTGTGGAAACGTGCATTGGAGACGGACAAGCACCCAACGTCAACAAACCTACCCCCCGCTAATCCCGACCGCATCCGACAGCCCGCGTCACTGTCCAAGTTATTGGAAGTCAGCGGCGGCCGGCTCGGTTCTAATCAGGCACCCATCAGCGATGCCACCACCACCACCGTACCTTACCTAAGTGGCTCTTTTTTACCAAGCCTTACTACCAAGGCACACGCCCGGGCTGTTCAACCGACCTATTATCTTGTTGCGTGATTGCAGCTGTTGCGCCAGCCGCGCGCCTCTCAAATCTACAGCTTGTTTATATTTTTATATTCTTGACCTACCTTTCTGCTACAAGTCAAAGACACAATGGCCACCCAGCCATCGTTCAATTCCAATAACCCGTTTCGTCGCAAGCCCGTTGCCGCTACCGACGTCCCGGATCTGCAGTCGACGACCCCTCCTCCACCACCACCGCCGACGATACAGGGGGATGATAATACCTCGAGTTTGACGATTGGGGGCGGCGGCGGTGATCAATTCTGGGAAACATTGCAGGGTGTACCGAGACCGGCTCAGCCGCCGCCGACGACGAGTTTTCTGAAGCAAAAGGTTGTCAAGAAGGTGAGGGTGCAGAGCCCGCCGCCGAGTAGTCCGGAGGAGAGTGATGGGTTTGGGGAGAGGTTCCCGCCGATTGGGGAGCCGGATGAGGAGAGTGATAGTGGTAGTGAGAGTAGTGAGGAGGAGGTGGAGGAGGAGGAGGTGGTGGTGGTGGAGGTAGATCCTTTTGGGGCGGGTGGGGGGTCGAATAAGAGCTCGGTTGAGGAGTTGGCGGTGCAAGAGGGGGATAGGCGGCGGGAGGGAGGGGTGCCGAGGATATCTTTTCAGATGGGACAACCAGGGTTGGAGGAGAGGGGGGAAACTGAGGTGGGGGCAGGAGGGTCGAGGGGAGGGCTGGATGTGGATGCGTTCAGGAGGCTGTTGTTGACTGGACAGACCGGGGGATCAACACCGGCACGGTCGAGTGCTGATCTCGGGAGGGCGGAGGAAAGAGCTGGGACGGAGATAACGATACAGTTGCAGGACACGCCACGTCTATCACGGGAAATACCAGGCCAGACGGTTGGAGATGAGCAGCAGAGGTTACTCCCCAACCCTCCCGCCGCCACCCTCCAACCTGCACCGACCATCCTGAGAAAGAAACCCCCTCCCCCGAGCTCCCGCCATGGAAAACTCATCCGACCAGACCCGACCCGCCAGGAGAGCAGCAGCTCCCTAGGCGGCAAAACCTCGTCTTCATCATCACTAGCAAGCCCTAAACCTGTCACGTCACCATCTAGACAGCGGCCCCCAACCCCGTCAGACGTTAACAAACCCCTCCCTTCACAACCCTCGGTGTCAGAAGATGGCAATATATTCGACCACGAAGCAGCGGGGAAGATTCCCGAGCCTGCCATGCCCGACCCAGGTCTTCACATCATCCACGCTTTACGCTCCCCCTCCCCAACCTCTAGTCTGCCGACACCACCACCGTCAAGAAAACCTGCCCCCCCGCCGAGACGACAACCACATCATGGCAGGTCCGAGCCTAGGCCTTTTTCACCAGAGGAGGAATTGTTTAGCAGTACTCGTCGATCATCAATGGAATCGACCCGTTCCCGGTCTTCTTCCTTACGAGCCAACATCCACGCGCCGGCACCGCCGCCCCCGAGGAGACCATCGCAGAGGGTGGTGGCGTCGCCCAGTGGTGAGGCTGTATCTCCGCCGCCGACACTGTCTGGGAGTAGTACGCCGAATAATAACAGTGTGGTCACACCGCCGCTGGCGGGATCGGTGGTGGAAGCTATTGCCAGCCCTCCACCGGTGGTAGGGACGGCAAAGGAGAAGTTGACGCCGCCGCCGCCGCCTCCGGCTAGGGGGGCGAGTGTGAGGGCTAAGAAACCTGTCGGGGCAGCGGGGGAGGGGGTGGTGAGGAGGAGTAGTGGGAATAGCAAGCAGGCGCCGCCGGTGCCGAAGCATAGGGGTGGTGGTGGTAGTGTTAGGAATAGTGCTATGGCGATGGCGACGGCGGCAACACCGGACACGACGGATGAGGTGGTGGTGTCCTCACCTGGGGGTGGTGGTAGTGGTGACGGGGTGGATATACTGGCTGATTTGACGAGGTTGCAGAGGGAGGTGGATGAGTTGAGGGCTGGGTTGGCTAATGGGGGGTCGAAGTGATGGGCTGGGAGTATGATGTAGGGGATTGAAAAGAAATGGGAATTAATGACTGAAAGATTGTTTGATGATAGGGGGTTGGGTTAAGGGAAGGGAACTTGTATGATACAATGTGGTAATTTTGTTTTGGGGATTTGTCTTGTATATGATGATGATGATGATGATGATGATTTGGATGTGGATGTGGTTCTCGGTGTATTTGATGCTGGATGGGAACAAGTGCGGTTGTTTGGTGGTGGTGAAGACACCGCGTGCGTGCCTATTGACAGGAAGCTACCTATAAATCACTCCCATGTGACGGTTCTGAATCTTGTCATCATCATCGTCATCCCTTTTCTTACTACTACTTTTCGCCTTTCAATTCGTAATTACCACCCACACACACACACACACTCTCTCTCTCTGTCTGTCTCTCTCTCTCTCTCTCTCTCTCTCTCTCTCTCTCTCTCTCTCTCTCCACCTAACAATGTCGTGATCACCACGGTTGGTGCTCCTACTGAATGGGTGGTCTGGATATATTTAGTTGAATATCACCCGTTTTGCTGGGGCCGGAAGACAAGAAACTGGACAGTTGAACTCGAGGCAAAGTTCACACCCAAAGTATGTCAGCTGCCGGGCATAGCTGCTAGGCCATGCTTTTCTCCATCTTTTCGCATGTTCAACAAGTCACATGCCATTTGTCACAGTCCAGCGCTCGATTGTCTTCACATGCAGCTCCGTAACCTCGTTTGACGTACCGGTTTCGCTTGTTAATGCTATTCTTTTTTGGCCCAATGATCAGCCTCTGCTCTTCACCCCATTCACATCCCCCTCCACCTCTCTCTCCAACCCCCCTTCTCAAACAGCCACAACGCCTCCGTCGCATAAGCATAACAACTCCTGTGCCCCCTCCCCTCCTCCCCCTGCACCTCCTCTTCAATACTCTCCACCACCCGATTCTCCTTGAAACACCTCCACAACCCAAACGCCAAATCGTCCTCCTCCCCTACCCTCCCACCCTCACCCTTCCCCCAATCACCCCTTCCCAACCTGTACAGCATCCTGCCCAGCGTCTGATAAGCAATACACCTCTGCGCTGGGACCTCCGATCTCGCATATCTCGCCAACTCGGGAATAGTATACCCCGCCGCCTCGGGCGCCTCACCATGGTGGTGAAGACCCTTCGTTACAGGGATTTGCCGGGATAATCTCGGTGGGATGAGTAAACCGCGAAAGTCAAAGCGCAGCGCAGAGATGGGGAGTGAGTCCTGGCCTGGGTAGTAAGGGGATTCTTTGTCGGCGGCGGAGCCCGGGGTTGGGATGGGGGCCATCCAGGCGAGCTTGGAGGGGTCGGCGGGGAGGTTGGGGAAGAATTTGGAGTGCATTTTCTCGAGAAAGTCCGGGTCTTCGGGGTCGAGGTCGGGGACAGTGGGGGGCTGGGGGTAGTGGGTGTGGAATGTGTGGGCTTCGTCGGGGGCGTTGGAGGGGGTTATGATGAGGTTTGGGTCGGTGGTGGTGATCGTTTTGACGGGGATGAGGTTGGCTGGGGGAGCTGGGGGAGCGGCGTCTTCGTCAAAGGTGACTGTTTTCTTGGGTTTTGTGGGATCTTTCTTGGATGGTGGTGGTGGTATGTTTTCTGAGACGTCCTCGACAGTGACTTTGGGGGGTTTGGTCGTGGTTGTTACGGGTGTTGTTTTCGCGCTCGAAGAGGGTTCTGGGGACGGATCGAATTTCGCGGGACCGGAATCGTCGAGGTTTGCGCGCCGGAGGAGCATTTGGATAAGCTTTGGATCAAGGTTCTTGAAAAGGTCGCGCTGTTCTTCCATGATCTGATCGGGCGGCAACGAGTTCAAAAGGGCGTCATTTTCCTCGGCGATTCTCTGCTTTTCTAACACCTCTGGCTTTGGTGCTGGTGGCCGCTCTGGGCCATATTGGGCTGGAGGAGTCGGGAGCATGCTTGTGTTGTTGTTCTGGCGCTGCTTCTTGAAGGCAGAAATTCGTTTCTTGGGCGCTGGGAATCCGGTCGCGGACTGGTTGGCGGGAGTCGGGAAGCTCGGGGGCTTGACTTCGTCGGGTGTGTGTTCGAGAACGTCTCGTACCTCTAGTCCGAATCCCTCCATTTTGTCGGGGGGGTTTTTTTTTTTGTGTGTGTGTGTGTGTGTGTGTGTGTGTGGTGATGGTCGAATGGGCGAGCGTTGGTGAAGAAGTTACTTTGTGTTGGTAGAAAAGGTTCCGTCACCAGCAAGTTATCCGTTATCGTTATCGTTATTGGCCCCCCACTTTAACGAAGCTTTTGGAAGCTGGACAGGGGTGGCTGCTTATCTAATTACCCGTCACTGCTAGCGTCGATCTAAGGCCGAATGGCACCGGGTCTGGTCTGTGCACGGCATTCGAAACACTCGTTCAGATGCAGGCCAGTGTTTCGCAGGTGTAGAAAACGATACTTTTGGCTATTTTTCTGAGAAACTGAGAGAAGAGACTCGCACAGAGTGGAGCGGTTTGCTGTAGCAGACCGGCGCCACAGCACGTGAAGCAGCGGAAAATTGCATCGTTAGTGCACGAATACAAGACACGCCATGTCTCGGGATCGGAAGGCACAGGGACGGATATATCGCTGCAGAAGTCTACCACGTCTAACTAGGTGTATATCTGGAGTATAATTTCTTCTCCATTCTCTCACTGCGTCCCAAGCATCTTCTGACTTGTATACAGACACCGACCGGCTTGTTGTAATAGATCGGAGAATTGGGACTTGGTGGAATTGGATGTGGCTTGTGCTTCAATCAGGGATGCCCTGTGCCTGTCCCGGCACGTTTATTTTGTCCCTCAATTGTGGGTCGGACACTGCGGAGAATGTCACGCATCGTCCCACCCCGAATGCGAAAGGGGGGCGGGGTACAAGATCCAGAAGTACCCTCGTACCTACCGTACCGTGTGCAGGGCACTGCAGGATACCGCAGGACCCAAGCCGCCCCGCGCGAGCCTCTTCCGCGCTCTTGGCTCTGCGACGAACCCCCCCTCTCCCCTGTCACACTTTAAAGTCACTTCCCGCCGGTGGGGGACCTCTAACAGCCAGGCCTTGTGACGACAGAGAGCATTGATATTATTTTATCGTCTTCCATTTCCCAGCCAGAGCAACCAAGGCATTTCCCCCTCCGGTCACCCTACTCCCTCTATGAGTGGTTGGTCAGGCGGTGGCCAGCTGCCAGAGAGGCATTCCCATCACCTAATCTGATATCGGCAAACCGTCTGATGTATCTGATGACTGCGTTTCCCTCTTTTGGCCGTCGCTTGGCTCCATCACTGGCTGGACTGGCAACCTGGTCTGAGTGTTCTTGTTAATGGTGTTTAATTCGTTTTTTTCCAGAACAAATGTCCCTTTGGTGGTCAAGCCCCGGTTTTCCCTCGCCAGCTGCAAAGTAATAAAAAAAAAAGTTCCAAAACAGAGCCCATCCCCGTCCTGCTCCTCGCCGCCCAGCACCCCAAAATTTCCTCCTTTTCTCACTCTCTTTTTCCACACTTTTTGCAGTCAACAACCACCACAAAAGAATCGACTCCCATCAGTTTCATTGACGCCTGGTGTGCCTGCATCGCGCAACCATCGTATTTCGATTCCCGCGTCTTTTCCGAATTGATCCATACGCTTTTGACCGCTGCATCCCCCTAAACAGCCCGGACACCGCCCATTTTGTCGCCGACCGCTGTCTCTTTTGCAGCGCCCTCGGCGGGTGAAGGCATTCAGACGCAGCAAACTCCACCCGCGACACAACAACCAACGGAGGAGACGCTTGGACCAACCAACGCCTCCGCATCCCAAACCGGTGCAAAGCAAAAAAAGGAGCCAATCACCAGCTGGTTTTTATATTTAGTTATATGTTACCTTGAACTTGTCCATCTTTATACCGATACCGATACCGATACACCACCATACGCATACGCCTTTGAGCTACTTCATCTTTAAACCCAACCGACCACCACACACAAAGGGGGTTTTTGTGCAGCTTGTAGGGGGCACGCCCAGTGGAGGAGGATCAAAACACCGCGATGCAGCAGTATCACAGCTCATCACCCTCCCTGTTGTCATCACCGCCTTCTGCCATTTCCGAGCCTGGATCGCCCACTCGGATCATCAACGCCGCCAGAGCCAACATCGAAATGGACGAGATCATTGTCGACCCCGGGTCAGCTGCCAGATTCGGCATTATGCAGCAACAGGTCCAGCAACAGCAAGCCTCCGAGTACCCGCCCGGCACACAACTGACCGCCGCCGGCGTTCCTAGGAAAAAGCCGGGCCGGAAGCCTGGTAGCACAGTCAAGCCGAAGGTTGCACCTGATGGGACTGTCGAGCCACCCAAGCAGCGTCGGCCGAGGAAACCCAAGGACCCCAATGCCCCGCCTGTCCAGAGGAAACGCAAAGCCGCTCTTACCGAGAGCAATGAGACAAACTCGGAGATGGATGCGCGGGCTGCCTCTGGTCCCCCATCAGCAGCAGCAGCTCGTCAGCCCAAGATCACAGAACTCACCTCGATGCGCATGTCGTTGGACGGTGGCGCCGGCTTCGTCCAGACGCCGCCCAAGAGAGAGAGCATGACCTCGATGCAAATGCAGAATCTCCTCAACAGCGACGAGCCACCTCCGCAGCCCCAGCCGACGGCGCCTGCCAGGCAGATGTTTGATCCCATCCGAGGCAACTACGACCCCATTAGGGAAAGCATGGTATCTCGCGACCCCTATGGCACCGGAGGTCCGCTTGGCTCCCCTCGCGCGCCTGCCCAGGCTCCCAACAGGGCCAGCGCATCGCCATCTATTGCCAGCCTAGTCGATCCTCCAACCTCCATCATCTCACCCAGACCGACGCAATCGTTTACAACAACTACTTCGCAGCCGCGTTTCCAGGAGCCATCATCAGTCCCTGCTTCTCCGGCCAACCCCGTCCTGGCCACCCCTGCTACCATGCCCAAGCCCACATTGGCCGAAGCCAGACGTCCCCCGCCGCCACCTCCAGCGCCTGCCTCCGTTAGCAAGCCAGAACCCAAAATGAATTCATTTACCAGCATGTCGTCGATTCCGAGCGGCTCCTCGCTTGCCGCGGTTGCTGCCCCGCCCGCGCCTGTCCAGAGCAAGAAGATCGCGGCTGTTGTCCAGCAAGAAACAAAGGCCAACAAGAAGGCGCGCAGCAGCACCAGCAGCTCGCCAAAAATCAACGGAGTGAAGGAGAAGGACTCGCTGCCGCCCCTTCCAGCCAGCGAGCGCTCCATCTTGGATTTCGGGAGGGCCAAGCCCGGCGAGGAGGTCGAGCCGCCCAGCATCGCGCTTCACATCCCGCTCAAGCAAGGTGAGAACAACAAGTATGTCAACTTCATGCGCATGGCCGAGGAACGCTACGGATGGGACGCTTTGCACCCCAGATTGGCTGCCTCGCGGGAGCGCAAGGCTCTCATCGCAGCTGCCACGGCCGCTTTGGAGAAGGAGAAGAATGGCAGCGGCCGTGACACTGGGGACGAAATGGAGGAAGACCTGAGCGAGGCCGACAACAGCAATGTGGAAATGGGCGGCATGGGCAACGGAAATCCGGCCAGCGGCCCCGAAGCTGCTCCTGCCAAGCCGGCGAGGAAGAAGCGGAATTTCAAGGAGGACGAGTACGACAAGGATGATGACTTTGTGGATGACTCTGAGATGCTCTGGGAAGAGCAGGCAGCTGCGAGCAGGGATGGATTCTTCGTCTACAGCGGACCTCTGATCCCCGAGGTGGAGAAGCCTGTTGTGCCCGAGGGACCCCCGAGACGCGGTCGTGGTGGACGTGGAAGAGGGTCCAGGGGTGGTGCTCGTGGCGGTGGCGAGAGCGGACGGGGCCGAGGTGGCGGGCCCGGTTCGAGAGGCGGCACCGTGAGGAAGCCAAGAATCACGAAGCTCGAGAAGGAGCAGCGGGATAGGGAGAAGGCGGAGAGGGAGGCGCTGGCGCAGATGGCGAGCAAAGCCGGCGCGACGACACCAGGTCCAGCTGCGAACACGTCTCCCGGTGGTGCACTTAATCTGTTGACACTTACGCCTCCGGCGGCTGGAACAGGTGTTACTTTGTAATATGGGCGACATTTTTCTTCTTTTCAACTGTCAAAGTCATCATCACCTGACGCCGAGTTTGCCAGCGCTGGGGTGTGGGGAGTTTATCTGTTTATTTTACATTTATCGCAAGGGTGTATGTATTGTTCATCGGTGGGATGTGGGCGGCGACCTGGGCGTTTGTTTTGGAGGGGGTGTTCTTATGGTTGGAATGAACAACAGCACTTCGCAACACGCAAAAACGTTTACTTTTCCTTTTGGTCTCTGGTGGTGCTGGCGAGAGGGGTGTTCCGTCGGTTACGTTCGGCGAGACTCGATTCAGCGCCATACCCGTTGCTGAGGTTCGTTCGCCCAGCTTGGGCTTCTTTACACAAATTCTTGGAGCGAGGAAGGGTCGGATAGATGCTGCTGGAGGGGGATGGGTGATGAAATGGATAATGTATGACATTGCTGGATGGGCTGACGGCAGGAGGAAGCCAGGGGATACACATGCATGCTCGACTGGTCGGAGGAAGGGGGTCTATTAGCTTATTTGGATGCATCAACACAGCGGTTTTAATCCAGTTTCACGTCATCTTTCCCATCTTTGCCGCCACTTCTTTACACTCCAGCTTGATGGAAGATGAACAGCAATTCCGTGGAGATTGCGGTCCCCGATCACCATAGTTCATCTTTTTTTCAGTAGCCAGTTGAAACCTGTCCAGTATTGAAGTCCAGATTGGGCTGTCTAACGCCGGTTCCTCACCTGCGCCCTCGTTCCCTCGATTTCACGGACGTCAACATCTAAAGATTAGGTGCTGTTCACCCACCTTGGATGTGTTGTTCAGGGAGTGGTAGGTGTTGCTCCTCGCTAGACTACTCAAAGAATGGGATGTACTGTATCGACCAAAACAGAGGAGGAGGACAGCAGTTTATATTCTGGAAGACCCGTGTGCGATTTGACGCGTTTTCACTGATGATTATAATTAGTAGCGGCCGTTGTGGTGCGTGAGGCCGGCGCCGTGGCCGTTGAGGTGGTGGTGGTCGTTGTTGGATAGATTCAGACAGTGAGCTCTGTGGTAGACGAAGAGTTTTGGATGGTCTCGAATTCGGACGAAGCTAACAACAAAGATTAGATGAGGCCATCCCAGTTTCAGACGCTTCTCTTGGCGGCGGCCCCAGAAGAGTCCCGAACTTCCGCTGCCCTGGTCAGCTACCGAGGCAATGCAGGGATGGTGTGGGGTCCCGCGAAGCTGGGGTGGCACGGTGCGCCCTGCTGCTGTCGTGCTTCTGTCACCGGCCCTGCCACCCTGCTTGGAGGAGGTATCCAGTCGGTCAGGGGGCGGGATATGGCCATGTTACTTGTCGGAAGACGACCAGACCGGCACTTGTCTCGACATCTCCTGTTGTAGGTAATGTGGTGTTGGGTGAATCTGGACAATGCCCAACATCAATGTTTGGCTCCGCAAGGAATTTCCACTTCCCCGGATTTCCCTAACCCAGGGGGTGGCTTGCGAACGATATCGCAATCGAATTTCTTCCCGATTGGAAATCAAACAGGGGGGGAGTGATGATGGAGCCTGCCGATACCGCGCTACTTTAGCAGTGGTTAGCTCTCTTAAGTCCGCGCCCACCACCCGTCGCCCAGAGAAGGAAAAAAAGGAAGGAAAAAAGACAGGACGGAAATGCGGACGGGGATAACTTGCATGTGAGTGGCCTGGAAGAGAGAAGAGAGTGGATAATAAAGCTCACATCCGAGTGTGCTACTAAATACATACATACGAATTGTAATCCTCACTCAACCACCTCTGTTTAACTCATCCGCCAATCCAATCCCGCTGTGTTCCCCAACCAAGGCATGCTGCCGAAGGAAAATAAACAGGAACCAAGGCTGTTGTGTATCCGCCGACCATTCGTATGAACATGTTCACATCTTAGGACCAGTCCTCGACATTCTCAAGCATTTCCTGGCCGTCGTGGTAGACCTTCATCATGACAGCCGACTCGCTCGACCAGAGCGCTGCCCGCGGGACATCCCACACACTTACCGGCGGCTCATCCAACAACACGACATTGGACAGCCCCCCATTCCACCCAGAAAAGGAGTCCCGCTCTCACCCCTCGCGGCCCTCCTCCCGTCACTCTCAACTCACCACCACCTCTTCAGGTTCCTCCAACGGCGACCCCCTATCCCCCCTCGAACACGCCCTCGGCCGAACCACATCCATCCCCCAAACCGACGCCATCTACCAACAAGATGCCGACAACAACAACAACAACAACCACCTCACCCACACCCGCACCGGCCGCACCTCCATCACCTCTGCCGCCTCCCGCCCCCCAGACTACGAAGTCACCATCTCCACGGACGACCCCGAGCACCCCATGAACTGGCCCTTTTGGTACAGGACCTACACCATCCTCACGGTCTCCTACTCCACCTGGGTTGTAGTGCTCTACTCAACCTCCTACACAGCCACCCTCCCAAAAATAATGGACGAATTCGACATCACCTCCAAACCCATCGCCACCCTGGGCCTGACAACCTACCTCCTAGGCCTAGCAGCTGGCTCGGTGATCGTAGCCCCCATGTCGGAGCTCTACGGCCGCAGACCAGTCTACCTCGTCTGCCTCGCCGCGTTTATTGTTCTCATCATCCCCTGCGGATTAGCCGACTCGTTGTCAGAGATGGTAATAGTCCGTTTCTTCGGGTATGCCCCTTTCCCCCCTCTCCTTGTGTCAGCATGCTAAATCCCCCAGCGCCCTCTTCGGCTCAGCCATGATCTCCAACTCTCCCGGAACAGTAGTCGACATCTCCTCAGACAAGTACCTCGCCCTCTGCATGTCACTATGGTCCATCGCCCCCCTCAACGGTCCGGTCACCGGCCCCCTGATCGGCGGCTTCGTCAACGACTACCTCGGCTGGCGGTGGGGAAACTGGTTGGCCATCATCCTCTCCGGCATCGCTTTTGTCCTCACCTTTTTCGTCCGAGAATCCTACCTGCCCACGCTGATAAAGCAGAAAGCCGCGCGGAGGAGGAAGGAGACGGGGGATGAGAACTGGTGGTGTAAATACGACCAGCGGTCTGTTTCAACATGGGGGTTGCTGAAGCTGAATCTGTCCCGGCCGTTTGTGCTCGCGGTGACGGAGCCGATTTTGTGGTGTTTTAATATCTGGTGCCTGCCGTCCCCCTTCCTGTTGTCTCTGGAACATCCCCGGCTAACAATGCCCCCTAGGATATCCGTGATCTACGGCATCCTCTACCTCTGCTTCATCGCCTACCCCATCATCTTCACCCAGCACCGCGGCTGGTCACCCTCCCTCACCGGCCTCTCCTTCCTCGGCATCGGCCTCGGCACCCTCATCTCCATCTTCCTGGAACCTTTGTGGCGGAAAATGATAAACTCCTCCCCTAAACGCGACCCCCTCAACCCGTCCCGCCCGGCACCAGAAGCCACAGCGTTGATCATGTGCGTCGGTGCCGTCCTCACCCCCATCGGCCAGCTCGTCTTCAGCTGGACCAGTCTCCCAGCCTCAATCCACCCTTCCATCTCCCTCCTGTTCGGCTCCGTTCCCTTCGGCATGGGCAACACGCTTTCGTTCATTTACGGGAGCAACTACCTCGCGGGAGCGTACGGGATATACGCCGCTTCCGCGCTGGCAGGGAACGCGGTGATGAGATCAGTGTTTGGGGCTGCGCTGCCGCTGGCGGGGCCGGCGATGTACAAAGCCATGAGTCCGCAGTGGGCGGGGACGTTTCTGGGGGGGTTGGAGGTGATGCTGGTGCCGATTCCGTTCTTGTTTTATAAGTGGGGGGAGAGGATTAGGGGGAAGTCGAGGGTGATCAGGCTGATGAGGGAGGAGAGGGATAGAGAGGAGAAAACGGCCGAGAGGAGGCGGAAGAGGGCGGCGAGGAGGGCGGCGAGGGGTGGGAGGGATGTTGAAGGGGAGGAGGGGGAGGGGGAAAAGACAGAAGTGGAGGAGGGGAAAGGACGGGGAAGGGAGATGGGGGTTTAGGGGTATAAGAAAAGGGTAGGAGGGAATGCACGTAGGAGGGGGATTTATGGCTGTGTATATAATCGCAAAGACGTACTTGGATATCTGGGCAAGGAAGAAAGGTATTCATCAACAGGAAAACACATCCTCATATTGAACTCTCTGCCGTCAAAGGCTATCCATTCAAAAATTGCTGGGGTATCTCACCTCCATCACCACCATCCCCTTCACCCATCACACACTCACCTCTCCCCAAAATCATCACACAGCCAACCGCACACGCAAACCAAAAGTATTCATCAACTCAACAACAACAACAACAACAACAACAACAACAAAGCGAATCCCTTTCATAAAACATCAAAAAGCACAAACAAAAGAATAAACAAAAATATGGCCTAATAACAACACATAATTCGAACCTGTCCATCCCCCAACTTCAATCATTCCATTTTTGCCGTGTACAACAATCCAACTTCAACTTCCGGACCAGCCAACCACAACTTTATCACCTCCTCCTCCCTTACAAGAGTAAACACAAAACAAGAAAAAACTATCGTACCAAACCTAAGTTGCAGCTTCTCCCACGCCTCCATCTCACACGGCAACTCCAACCCCCCCTCCCAGAGCAAGTAACAAAATAAACCAAAACAAAAAAAAAGGTATCATCATCCTTCATCCCTTCCCCCCTTCCCCGCCTCCGTCCCCAATCCTCGCGTATGCATTCCCCCCCTCTTCCCCAGCCCCGATATGATTCCGTGCAATCAATTCAATCGTTGGTGTTGTGTGTTGTGTGTTGTGTGTTGTGTGTTGTGTGTTGTGTGTTGTGTGTTTTGTGTTTTGTGTGTGTGTGTGTGTGTGTGTGTGTGTGTGTGTGTGTGTGTGTGTGTGTGTGTGAGATTTATATCATTCAGCCCTCAAGTGTGTATCATCCTCATTACCCACCACCATCACCACCCCCAACAACCCCCAATCTGAACCACTCCTCCATAAATTAGATTAGATATCAGCCAGCTGACCACAAAGACTGTATAATACGCAAGTAGGTCCCATGGCTAAGGTATCACATCGTTAAAAGCAGAAGACAGGGTAAAAAAAAAACATCGCCGTGGGCGCAGGCTAAGAACCGCGCGCGAGTGGAAAAGCAAAAAAAAAGACCAAATGTGCAGCTGAAGCAATCGTCACCAAAAAACCAAAACCAAAACGCAACGAAAAAAAAAAGAAAAGAAAACAGAGCGACAGTGGTATCAACGGTCAACCTCAAAAAACAAAAACGCCTTTCCCCTTCCCCCCCCCTTACCCAACTACCACCCCTTCTTCCTCGCAAACCTCTTGTTCAACAAGGCCAGCACCTTTGGCACATTAAACTGGACATACTCAAGATCCAAATCGTCCTGGTTATCCTTTTGCATCTCCAGCAAGTCATCCAGCTTCAAATCAAGCTCCAGCAGACCTCTATTCCGCCCCTTGTAGTGAAGCGAGATGACAAAGGTTCCTGGCAGCGGGCTCGTAAAGTTAAAGTAGATGTTCGCCCTCCTATTGTCCGGAACGTTGCTCTTCTGGATGACACCCTCCTTTTCGAGCTGTTGGTGTGTGAACTTGTAGGGTCCGAGAACCTGCTGCTTCTGCTGTTTTCGTCGCGTGCCTTCGCTCTGACTCCTGACGTTGTGCAGGTAGTTCTTGTATGTTTCGAGCTGGCCGACGAGGTACGAGTTGTGATCCCTAATCGTCTTGTACACCTCCTCCAGCTTCTTGGTTTCGAGATCAACACCCTCCTTCAGGCTCCCCAGATGCTGCAGCTCCTGTTCGACCTCATCGCGCAACAGCATGAACCCGTCGCTCTTGTCCACCACCTTCAGCTCCTGCAGCTGACTCAACAGCTCCATCGCCCTGATGCCCTTACGCACCATGACCGCATCGTTCTTGCTCGTTGCTGCCGCATCCGCAATCCTCTCCAGCCTCAACGGCCTCTTAGCCACCGAGGATCCGGCCGGAATCGTCCTCAAAATCTGCACAAAGATCGACTTGGCCTCCATGAAAAACACCTCCTCTTGAGTGATGTCCAACGCGGCCGTCAGGTCATCAATCGCCGTCTCCCACCTGCTGAACAGCGGCAGGTTGATCACCCTGTTCTCCTTCCTCGGCACCTGCGGCGGCGCGGGGCCCAGCTCATTCACGATAATGGACAAGTGAGAGTTCGCGTCCTTGCAAATCTCCCCCTTGTGCTTGTCAATCAGCGAGTGCATGGCGTAGATCTCGTTCAGGGTAATCGACAGCTCCAGGTCTTTCTTGGACAAGGCGACATAATTATCCATCTCGAGGCTCTCGTAGAAGTCTTGCACTTCGCACAGGTCCAGCATAAACTTGTTGATCCGGTCCTTGTTTTGCAGGACAAACGGCTGCAACTTGGCCATGTAGGGTTCCTTTGCGTACGATGGCTTGTTGGCCAGGTTTTGCAGCATCTTGGCAATGTAGGTGAGCGTCCTCCTGGGGCGGTCGGCCGGGGTGCCGTCGATCAGCATGTACGACTTGGGCGTGACGATGGCGGGGTTGATGAAGCGCAAAAAGAAGAAGCCACCAATCAAGGTGCAAATGACCTGGTCGTTGGCGTCTGGGTATTTTCTCTTGGTCAAACTGCGAATCTGCTTGCAGATCCAGCGGATTCCGTAGGGCGCTTCCTCGAGGCCGTCGATGATGGTGGTCAAGAATCCGTTGGCGATCTCGGTCAGCATGGTCAGGCGCGGCTCGATGATGGCTTGAACCTGGGGGTTCTCGGCGGCCTGTTCGGCCGTGATGCCCTTTGGAAGCGAAGCCGGAAGACTGCCCGTGTCTTCTTCAATCTGTTCAATCATGCGTTCGTAAACCTTGAGCGGGTTAATTTCCAAATCCAAGTCCTTCAACTCAATCAGGCCATTGATCCTGTCAGCAAGCACTGCCTTGAGAAAGCTCTGGCCGGGACCTCTTCTGGTGTAAGTCGTCATCATTCGTGAAACAGGGGTGTTGGCGCGCAAGAGCGACGAGTACTCAGGCGTGTTGTCGAACTGATACGTGAGGACAGACTTTCTGGCTATTAGCATGGTTCGGCTTGCTCTTTCGGGCCAAGACATACCTGAAACATGGTTAGCAGCAGGTGCTCTTCGCGACTTTCGTACTGGTTTCCGTAGATGGTGAACATGACTGTCTGCAGCAGAGAGTCGATCTCGGACATGGAGACGAGTCGACAGAGGTGCGCAATGTGTCTGGGTTCGGACTGCAGGAGGAACAGCAGGTTGCCGTATCTCTGGGTCTTGTCGTCGTTGGGGAAGACTCCCTCCTGCATTTCGGCGGCATCTTCGAGGTGGCTAGCGACTTCGTTTTGCTGTGGTTGATTTTTGTCAGTGATTGCAGCCAATGTTGCCTCGAAGCAGAGCGAGCATACCTCCTCCAAGGCCATGCGATTCTGAATCAGCAGGGCGATGCGCGAGTCGAGGTACCGAACATCTTTTTCGAGCACAAAGTTCTTCTTTGACTGCGACGAGATCTTGGCTTTCAGGTCTCGCAATGTCTTTTGCGCTATTGGAAAAGGTCAGCACCCCGCTCAATCTTCAATCAACGAACCACAAACCTTTGGCAAGGTCATCTTCAATCACGAGGTCCGACTCGTTTGCCGACATAGACATGTACAGGGCGGACATGGAGTACCGCTTGGACTGGCGGGCGGACCGCGAGCCATCGTAGGAGGACATTGTGTTCTGGCGGGATATGGGCTGGAAGGAGGAGGAGGAGGCGGTGGAAGCTCTGGAAGGTGTCTGTAACATGACAGACATTGTTGGCGCAACCGCGCCGAGGACAATTGAAGAGGAGCGCCGAGTTGATTATTCGAGTGGTGGAAGGTGATGATGTAGCAGTAGGGAATGGAACCCGCGCGCGCTGAGAAAAAGGCCGACGAGGATAGCGCTGCGGGCGGGTGCTGGGCTGTCGCTGTGTTTTGGGATTTCGGCAGTCGGCGAAGTGACCGTGCACTGGAGATGATAACAGGGACAGTGTGGCGGTCCGTATGTGTTTGAAACGAATATACGGAGTAGGGAGACGGTGAGAGTTGTATACAGAAAGACCAAAGGGGGGCCGGATGTGTGTGTTTTTCCAATCGCCAGTTTCAATCCGTCGCTCGTGGTCAGAGAGGGAGGGAAAGAGACCTGGAAAACGGGGGGTCGGTCGGGGGCGGTGGGGCGGGTGGCAGCGAAAAAGAGATGCGCGCTACGGAGGAGTTGCTGTTGAAAGACCCTGACTAACTTTGTTCAATGAAAGGGGGATTGGATGGATGGGTGGTAGCCCGGTGCCTGTTTTTGGGTGGCTTTGTGTGCGCGAGAGTTCGGGTGTGTGTGTGTGTGTGTGTGTGTGTGTGTCGTGCCGCTGGCAGTTGGATGCAATGATGGATGGATGAATGGATGGCCGATGATGGATGGATGTTGGCGGCGAGACGAGGCGAAGCGAACGAGGAGATGGAACTGGAACTGGAACTGGAACTGGAACTGGCACTGGCACTGGCACTGGCACTGGCACTGGAACTGGAACTGGAACTGGAGATGGAGAGAGAGGAAACTTGGGGGTTGAATGCGGAAACGCGTCGGGGGGGCACCAGTGGAGTCCCCTGTGCAAAACTAAACCTCCGGTTGGTGTTTGGAGGGGGGGCCTTGCTGATCCCACAGCGTCGACCGAACTCCCCTGTTGATAGGACGGGGGCAACTGGGGGAGGGGTGCGGGCACTTCCAGGTTGGGGATCACGGGGCGGGCAGCTGGACCAGTGAAATGCCGGCCGCCGAGTGCGGTGCGCAAGAATTGAGGAGAAAATAAAAAGTAAAATGTGAAAAACAAAATAAAAAACCTGGACAGAGGATCAAGTGATGGAAAAGGGGGCAGTGGGAGTGGGAATGCAACTGCTCTCTTTTGGAAATTATAACTGAGCAGATATGGGTTTATCGTGTCCGTGCGCGCCTTGCTCCTCCAACGGTTTTGGCTGCTGTCCCGGGCCCTCCTCCTCCACTTCTCCAGGCTGTGATATATCAGATATGTAGAAGAGGAAAAGGGTTCGGATGATGGTTGCGCAAGCATGGTAGCATCAAACCGGGGCCCCTTGGAACCGCAGGGAAAAGGCCGCATTTCTCTGTAGTGTAGCTATGAGCTATGATATCGATATCTCTTCAACACCCCTCATCCCCGCCCAAGACTAGTGGAAGGAAGACATGGATGGATAACGGACAAAGAGGGAACATGATCTTCGCGGCCAGAGGAGGCCAACCATGGGAATGACTTGTAGGTGGTGGTGGTGGTGTTTCGGGCCCCAGGGGGGTCAGCGAATCTTGTTGTCGCAATGCCGAGAGGCACCAGGGCCCGGGACCACACGATTGGCTGGTGACCGGCCATGGTGTTCTTGGCCCTGCCCTGTTCAACACAACCGTGCCCCTCTCTCGTGGTGCCCCTCCTCCACGTTGCCTTACAAAAGGCGGTGATGGCCATTTTTTTCTCGTCACCTTCATAGCGGGGTGGTCTTCAATCTATCTGCGGAAACGATCCGCGACCGAACTTGCCCTGTCTCCCTTCTCATCTCTTGCCCCTCGCTCAGACACCCGCTCGGGCTTTTTATTGATGATGTGCATTGCCAATAAATGCAGACAGAGTTGCCAAACATGAAACATGTATCTAAATCTAAACCTCTCAGCTAAACATACCCGCCCGTCCCAACAGCCTGGAACTCCTGCCTACCAAGGATCAGGGAAGCAACACCAACAATCTCAACGCCACACCTCCACATGTGGAATCCCCAATCAATAAATATCCCGATCTCTTTTCCCTCTCTCTCTCTCTCCCCTCCTCCATGTTACGGCCGTCCGGCATACCCTTCCACAAACCACCACCCTCCCTCGGCCGGGACCCGAGAGAAGGATAAATCTACAACATTTGATCTAGATCTCTCGTCGGACTGACTTGTACACAGCAGCTGTCAAAACAAACACAGACACACACACCCCCGTTTCTGTCCCTCGGTCTGGATTTGATACCAGTGACACAAAGACAAAAACTCACATCCAAAGATGAATATCCGGGGCACTTGGCTAAGAAAATTAAGGATATGACTGTCGGCGGTGGTGCAACCACACTCTTTTTCTTCTATCTTTTCTTTTCATGATACCTACCTTCGGGAACCTCTGACCGCCCCCCCCCCCCAATGCCCCTGTTGTAAATTTTAGGGGTACACACACAAACACAATACATAGGTACCCTGTGTTGTACTAACTACCCCAACCACAAACCCGTCAAAATCTCTCTCGTACATGATTATTATCTGGGGGAAAAACGGGCCCAATCCATCCATCACTCCTCACCGTCCGTAACGTACCTAGGTAGTCACCACAGCCTACTGTCCATACCACCGTCAGCGTCACAAGCATGGAACGATGTGATAAGAAACAAACAATTCGGAGAATGCCGAAGAAAGAATTGGTGTGTGACGAGGTGTCACCTGACGTTGTTGTGAGCAATTGCAACAAAGAATTGTCGGCCGATGGCCCGAATAGGTTATATACCAACCCTTCGGTGAAAGAAGACGGTGAATTATGAGGTGAAGCCCGAGTTATAAGGTACTCTCGTACGAACAGGGGGAGGTGTGGACGGCGATAAGGGGTGAGACATTGGGAGATTTGGGGTTTGTCTTACTGTTTGTGGTTGATGAAGCCCGATTTGATGATGCTGGAGAGGGGAGCAGGTTGATACCTTATTGTTGCCGGCAGTGGTTGATGGTGGCAGTTTAGCCATCCGTACATAGACAATAGAACGTGCTTGGTTATCACTACATGTTCATATCTCGTTAGGTTTTCATCGCGCGGTAGATCACGATAACCAGGATAAAAGTAAGAATTATAACATTCTCTATAAAAGGTAACCAAAACAATAACCCCGGAAGAAAAAAAAAAAAAGAGGGAAAAAAAAACTCCAAAACCCTATCCGATCTGTCGCAAATTCCTATCAAAAAATCATCATCATCATCACCATCATCATTACCATCATCAATGCTTCCGCTCACTCCAGAGCCCTCGCCTCTCGCTAGGCCACACCCACCCCGTCACCTCCACGGGATCAACCCCCTCCTCAAAAGCCCTCATCTGACACCTCACCTGCTCGTTCCTCAACAACTCCCTCGCCTCGCCTCCCTTCCCCTCCAACACCCCCCCAGCCTCGCTCAACCGATCAATAGCCTCCATCGCCAAAGAAAACCTATCGGTCCCATTCCTGATCGCCAACTCCAACGGCGTGTCGATGTTCCCCTTCTCCTTGTAACCCCTCACCACCACCCCCCCTGCATTCTTCCGTCCGTGAATCAGCCGGTAGACCAACCAAGGATAGCTATGAAAGTTGAACACCACCGGTTTGTCCCCCGTGAAAATCGCCTCGTACTCGGCGTTGGTCAAACCGTGGGGGTGTTCCTCATGGCTGATCAGTTTGAAGAGGTCGACGACGTTGACGCAGCGGATCTTGAGGGCGGGGAAATGGTCAAGGAGGAGCGAGATGGCGGCGAGGGATTCCTGAGTCGAGATGTCGCCGCAGGAAGCCATGACGACATCCGGTGCCGAGCCAGCCGGGCAGGACGAGAAACCAGGCCAGATCCCGATCCCCTTGGTGCAATGAACAATCGCATCAGCCATGGACAAAAACTGCAGATGCGGCTGCTTGTCGGCTACAATAACATTAACGTAGTTCCTCGACCGGAGACAGTGATCCGTCACCGACAGCAAACAGTTCCCATCAGGCGGCAAGTAAATCCTCACCACCTCCGGGCTCTTGTTCGCCACCACGTCCAAGAACCCCGGGTCCTGATGCGTGAACCCGTTGTGGTCCTGCCGCCAGACAACAGCGGTGAGGAGAATGTTGAGGGACGGGATGGGGTGTCTCCACGACACTTCGAGCGACTTCTCGAGCCATTTGCAGTGCTGGTTGACCATGCTGTCAATGACGTGGATGAACGGCTCGTAGGAATTCAGCAGGCCGTGTCTCCCGGACAAGAGGTAACCCTCTAGCCAACCCTCACACGTGTGCTCGGACAACATCTCCATCACCCTCCCTTCTGTCGCGAGATTGCCCCCGTTGAGGTCTTCGGGGAAATACTCCCCCATCCAGACTTTTTGGGCCACTTCATAGACGGTGCCGAGCTTGTTGGATTCCGTCTCGTCAGGGCCAAAGAGCCGAAAGTTGTTCGGGTTGAGCGAGATGATATCCCTCAAGAACCGCGCCATGTTCGACATGGAGGCGGAAAGCGTCTCGGCCGGGTGGTCGACCCCCAAAGCATAATCCCTAAAATCAGGCATCCTCAACGGTTTCTGAAGCATCCCCCCGTTCGCGACCGGATTGGCCGACATGCGCCTGTTGCCAGTGGGACAGAGCGCCTGTCGAAGCGAGGAAGAAATCCTGCCCCCGTTGGCGATAAACAGCCGTTCAGGCTCGTAGCTCCTCATCCAGCTCTCCAGCAGGGCGAACTGCTCCGGGTTCTTGTGCACATCCGTCAAAGGGACCTGGTGCGAGCGCCAGTATCCCTCAAGGTAGTCCAGCCCGCCATTGATCTTCCTCGGCCCAGTCCAACCCTTTGGACTTCTCAGAATCACCACCGGCCACATCGGCCTGAACGCCTTCCCTGTCGTCCTCGCCTGTTGCTGAAACTTTCTGATCTCGAGCACGCAGTGCTCGAGCGTGGCGGCCATGGCTTGGTGCATGCTTTCCACATCGTCGCCCTCGACAAAGTAAGGCTGGTAGCCATACCCCCTGAACAAGCTCTCCAGCTCATCGTGGCTGATCCGAGCGAGAATGGTGGGGTTGTTGATCTTGTACCCGTTCAGGTGCAGAATCGGCAGCACAGCACCGTCGGTAATCGGGTTGAGGAACTTGGTCGAGTGCCAACTCGTCGCCAACGGCCCGGTCTCCGCCTCGCCATCCCCCACCATCGTCACAGCAATCAAATCAGGGTTGTCAAACACGGCGCCGAACGCATGGCTGATGCTGTACCCCAGTTCACCACCCTCGTGCAGACTACCCGGTGTCTCTGGCGTGGCATGCGATCCAATCCCGCCGGGAAAAGAGAACTGCTTGAAGAACTTGCGGAGGCCCTCCTCGTCTTCTGAACATTCAGGATAAACCTCGCTGTACGTCCCCTCGAGGTACGCCTGTGACAAAACAGCAGGCGCACCGTGGCCTGGGCCGGAAATGAAGATCGCGTCAAGGTCGTACTTCTTGATGAGACGGTTGAAGTGCATGTAGGTGAAGATCTGGCCTGGGGCGGAGCCAAAGTGGCCCAGCAAGCGGGCCTTGAAGTGTGACTTGTCGAGGGGGGTGGTGAGGAGCGGGTTGGAGCGGAGGTAGATCATCCCCAGGGAAAGGTACAGTGACGCCTTGAAGAAGTCATTGCATTGCTCAACCTCCTCTTTTGTGAGGGGAGCGCCCTGGACGGTTGACCTGGCGGGGCCATAGGGGCTGATGGACTTGGGTTGTGGCGGTGGTGGTGGTTGTTCTGAGCTTGTTCTTTGTTGTTCGCCCATGATTGCAAACCAAATTGATGTTGTAAATTGTAGTAGTAGTAGTAGTAGTAGTAGTAGTAGTAGTAGTAGTAGTAGTAGTAGTAGCTAGGATTTGAAGCTTCTAGGAAAGCTGAAGAAGGAAGGATATAGCAGCAACGAGATACAGAGCCGGTCTGTTTTATACATTGACCTACATTCTGAAGCGAGTGACGATCACGATCTGGACCATCCAGGCTTGCCAATGCTATGGCAGGGGCTCTGCACGCTCCGTATCGGGAGACAAACGCTGGCCATCTTCTTTTTCGTGTATACGCAGTGGTGGTGCTGCTGGTGGCGAGGTGAGCATCCCGCCGGGGCAGGAAACAAAAGGTGGTCTGATGGTTGTAAGGCGAATAAGGGTGCTGCTACCGCGAAGCTCCTATCGCTGAAAAACAGTCAGTCCCGGCGGATGGCTCCGAAGAACAATCTCATCAAGTCTTCAATCATCCCAAATCACCCCCTCACATATCCTCAACCTCTCCCAATCACTGAATTCACTGAGATGAAGTCAAGATAAACATCCCAAGCTCTCCCCTAAATTCCACCGGCGGTCCCATAAAGCTATGACCACCACCCACCCGGAACCCGGCGCCTTTCGGCGGGGGGGGGGGGGGAAGGACCGGGGGGCGCAGCAACAAACAGACGAACACCTGATTTCTGCAGGGTCTAGAACATTTGCTTCATCAGCCCATCTACAGCACCCCAAGTTTCCTATCCCGTCCTGATGTCGTCTTTTAAGCGTCAGAGTAACAAAGACCTACCTCTTTAACTTGCCCAGTCAACGGGTGTGATGATGCCCCTCAATGCAATTATATGATGCCTTATCGGGCCTTCTCTGACTGGTCTTTTTTGTTCGCCTCACTTTCCTTCCCCAACCGTTCCTGCTCGATTAGCCAGGCACACCACTATTTCATTGCATTTGGGCTAATCAGCACCTGCAAACAAAATATTTGTTGAATGGCAGCTATTTCTGGCGCTCGCTATACCATGTCAAGATCTGACTCAGTCAGACATCAAACACTTGGTTGGCCTGCCCGGCTAGCTCAATCGGTAGAGCGTGAGACTCTTAAGGAGTACTCCGAAATCTCAAGGTTGTGGGTTCGACCCCCACGTCGGGCTCGATTCCCGGCGACACGATCGCTACTTTTTTATTTATGTTTGCACAATTTATCAGCACCATTTCCCTATTTTTTTTTTTTTTTTTTTTTTTTTTTTTTTTGGAATTTGCCCTTCAGAGAGAGTCAAGTTTTCATTTTCGCAACAGCTTGCTTTGCTGCTATGTGATGCGTTTTCTTGCATCGGGGTTGAATAGAAAGGTAAGGTGGGGCTCCGTTGCTGTGGCAGCCCCTTTTCTCCCCCTGATTTTGTTTTGCATCTCCGGCTGATCACCAGTGCACCGCTGGAGGAACAAAACAGAAACACCACCACCCTCCATACTGTGTGGTGGAATGCAAAATGTCAGAATATTCCTTCGGATTTCTCGGTTTCTTATACCCTGTCTGCAATCTGGCCAAGTGATGAAAAGCCTCATCCTCAGCTCAACGGTGGGACAGGTGGATGGGCCGCTGGTTGGTTGCGAGGGGTGTCGGGACGCAACTGATGAATTTCCAGGTGATGGGAATGCCAGGGGAAGTGTTTCGGCCGCCGGTCCACCGATCTGCTACGAGGGCGGCCGTAATGATGAGGATTGGGTCTGCGAGGGCGGGCATGATGGATGGTGACATGGATGATGGTCTTTTTTTGAGGCGGCAGGTGGGTGCGGTTGCAATACAGACAATGGAAATTCGGTGTGCGCGGTGACTAAAGGTACCTTGGACGGACGTCTGGTCTGATGCAAAGGATGGAATAAGTCGTTTGTCGTGCAGAGTTTTAGTTGTTCGGTATCCCGGATACCGAACAACAACTGGGTAGGCACTCACGCCGAAATATGGAGCGGGAAAAACTACCGGAAGGCTTGCAAGCCCGTGAGATGAGATAAGCTGTGATCGCTTCAAGCCAAGCGGAGGCCCTGGGCGGCAAGCCGAGATGAGATTACCTTCGGCTTGGCTTGGCTCATCTCATTGACCACCCTGGGTATCCATGGGGGAATACCTATTGAGGAGCTCACCAGTGTTTGCGAAAGGTTCTGCGCCAACCACCACACCAAAACTTTCTCATTATCTTCCGAGGTCGTCGGCCCCCGTCCTGCGTGTTGCCAATGTTGTCACTTGTGCCTGTGCAAGAATCCCGGAGCTGAATAGACTTTTGGTGGCTTAATTAGTTGTCACGGCTCGGTAGCACCCCCTTGGTCCCATGCATGCCGAAATTTAGGGACCGAGCCTTTCGGACTTGCCGAACTCGGGGACAGGTGTCCACGGGATAGAGGCAACTACGGCATGACCGTTTCGGACAATAGAGACGAAGCCAGGTGGAGCCTCAACACAATTTTGTGGGCGCCAACCGCTAGAGGTTTTGGTCTCGTGTTCGGATCGGAGATGCTCTCGTGTTTGACGATAGCCTCGTAAGCCAAGATATGTAGCCTTGTTGTGCTAGCATCTCGGTCCTAGACTGAGATTTGGAAATTTGTGTGAGAATGTTGTCATATCCAGGTGCTCCAGAGGAGCCGACAAAATGCTCAGCAGGATTTAGATGGGGTTGAGTGGGGGGATTGGACGCGGGAGTTGAGAGACCGCCCGCCTTGCCATGAGGCTCAAAGCTAATGCCTCAGACTCTGACGGGGAGAAGATGGCTGATGAATGGAAGGCTCACCAACGGCAAAGGTGTCATGCCGATTCCAGCCGGGGGGTGTGCTTCCCTATCGATAGCTAGGCGTTTAACGTTCAAAAAGCGCCACAACCGTGAGAGTTGAATTGTTTCCACCGCAAACGTTCGACGGGTTTAGAAGTTTCGGTGCCGTTTGAGCCACATGGTAAAATACCATGGTGAATATCATATCTCTGGTGATGAAGCCGGTAGCTGCTGGCTGTAAGAGTAATATTCTTTTCATGTCTTGCTGTTGTTGGACTTGGTTCATCATCTGCACCATGATTTCGGCATTGATGAGGCCAAGAATAGACGGCTAGTATCTAAGTAAGAAATTCCCATATTACAAGATGTGAGGCGTGCCAGCAGAATTGCGAGAAAAGTGATAGTATTGTACCGCACTGGAAGATCGGCTCCAGAGAGCAGAAATCTATCTATATCAACAAGTGACCCGTGGCCCACAGGGCAGAAGCCCTAGTAGCAACCTGACTGATATCCACCGGGAGCAGCACCTCGCACACAAGATACCTTGGCTGTAGTTACCCACAGAAGTCGGGGGCTTTGCTCCTGTCTCCTGCCTCCTGCCTCTCGTCCTTGTGGTCCTCGTAGACCTGTATCTCCGAAAAAGGAGGAAATGCTCCAGGTAGGCATCCAGAAAACTCTTGGTCGCCAAGAGTTTACCAGCTTTCAGTTATAGTAAGTAGAGCAAAGCTCCGGCCACTGCTTCATGTTCATTTTACTCCGTGCCTTTATGGAGCTTCGCTCCAAAAGAAACCTTGAATAACCTGAACGCCAGTAAAGTACCAAGCGCAGCCAGGATACGACACCATTAAAGTTCATGTTGGTGCCACAAGCCAAATCTTGTATGGGTTGGAGTGTGGAATGGGCTTTGCGCCTGCCAAAGGTTACAAACAAGCTTCAAATCTCAAGAGTATAAGATCTGAGCCCTCTTCCCTGGCGTTGGTTATTTTCCTCATTGGACACGCTTCCAACATTTCCTTCACCAAGGCCTAAACTTCGAGGACCTCTTCTGTGAGCTCAATGACGGCGGGAATGTCCAAGAGCTCAGGTCTTTCCCCAAAAACAGGCGAGTATGCTACGGCCAACATCTCTCAATTCTGTGGGAGTCATATCAAGCTAATGAATTAATCCTGCAGCAACAGACGTCCAAGATCTGCCGTCAATGACCCAGGTTTATCCTCGAATTCAACAGGGGAGTGTTCTGATGTCAAGGTCTTGGACCGTGAGCTGTTTAGGTGTAAAAGCGACATCTGATTCCAGCTCATGGCCTCCACGTGCCGAGATCTCGAATTTGAAATGCTAACTTGTTGAAAGATTAGGGCTCACCAAACGGCTCGGGTGGGATAACGCCATGGTCGCTATGTGAAAGTGACTCTGGCAGTGTTGCCCTTGCTGCCTTCTGGAAACCCGGAAAGATCATGATCCATCAACCCGGGGCATGTGGGCGTGGCTTGAGGCCTGAGAATTGCTCAATGAGTCAATGAACATCTCAAAGATCTGATTTGATCAAAAGTCACGCCGTTTGGGAAGGAGCCATTGGATCAACTCATTGACCCTGGCGAGCTTTTGGCCCATCCCGCCTTTGGATGAAGGAAGGAACGACTGATACTAGGTATCCGCGATGGCTGGTTTCCTGGAAGGACCGAATTTGTGTTTGGAGGAAGGAACTACCCGAAAGCCAGGGTTCTTGACAATCAAAATTTTCCGGAGGAAAGAACCTTCCTGGATTCCTGGCCTGGCTACAGTGGGAATACTGTCCCGTCGGGAGAGAGCTGCCGAGCAAATTCTGGGCTTATTTCTGAACTCAGCTCGTCTCGCAAGTTCATGGCATCATTTTCCGTCTATCGATACGATAGTCTCTCACAACGGTTTCTTCGCACCACATTTGGAGGCTTTTTCGATTTTATTTTCCTTTCAACACTCAAACTTCAGGAAAATAACATGGCTTGGGCATGCTCCGTTTGATTCGCGTTTCTTGTTTTATTTTGTTGAATGGGAGCAAGTGCGTTGTATCGTACGTCATCTCAGTGAGATCAGTACCTCGTCCCTTATGGTTACTTTCGATTTCTATTTCTAAATTTCCTGGTTTTCTTTTTTTTTGTTTTTTTTTTGCTGTCATTTTCAGTCACAGGACTCCCTTACCCGTTGCAACACCACCAAATCATTCACATGTCTTCTTGGAATTCTACCTTGGTCCAGAAACTTTGATGACGGATTGGCTCAATCAGAATCTGAGGGGCAACTTTGTTCGGTTCGGAAGGGGGCAGTACCGCTGCGAATTGATACCTCAGAGGTAGCTTGTCTGATCTGAGCGCCGGCAGATGACGATGAGTTACCGTCGACTTGCTCCATACATCTCAAATTGATCAAATCTATTTAACTTGATTAGTATTTCATCTCATGTTGACAGAAAACCCCTCTGCATGTGCACCTGTGCGTGCTTTGCCGGGCACTTTCAACGGGGCCAGACCCTTGTTCAACATGACAGAAGCTTATGTCAAAGTTTAGACCGGTATACAGGGTCCAAGAGGCCTTGGATTCGGCTACAGACGGACATGAAGGCGGCGAAGTGAGGGAGTGGCTAGCATATCAGAGCCGGTTGACTTTATCGGCGACAAAATGAACAGACCTGTTATGTGTGGATCGTCCAATGTAAGTGAAAATTCTCTGACAAAGCGGCGGCGCATTGCTAATCAAGTCGGAACCAGTCCTCAGCCGAAGATCGGGAATTTTGCCCGGGTCCAACATGTCCCGCGCCGATTTCAATTGGATGGGACTTTGTGACGTATTTCCAAGATCATCCCACCTGGGCTTGAACGGGCAGTCAGAGTTTGTTGGATCAACGACAACACACCGTATCCCCGTCGCTCCAGATCTTGATTGATAGACGTGGACGGGAGGGGATCACCCCAAGTGGAGAGCCGGGTCATCTACAAGACATCGCTTCAGACCTGCATCACTTTGCATCCACCGGCCGAGGATGCCAAGGTCGCTAACAATATTTCCCGTCATCCCATGTCATTCTCCCAACGTCGTCCGAAACAATTGACGAATCACAAGCAGCGGAAGGCCGGGTGGTGGTCCGAGGAGGTTTTGCGGCTCGAGAAGAATTGCCATTTTCCATTCAATCATGAGCACCCCATCCCGGATCCGGACAGCCGGGTCTACATGGGCCAGCACGCCAGACCTGCCCGACGCCAGGCACAACTGCACACATCTGCTTGCCAATTGCGGGCGGGACCGGAAGGGGAAACCAAGAGCGAGAGCGAGAGCAAGAGCGTGACTGGTGCTTTGCAATGGATGGAAAATCCCCTACAAGTCACGAATGGGGCGAGTGGGAATAGGTCGATACAGGCACTATGCCCGGTGGTCGCAATATGGAGTTCGCCTTGAGAGATTGCTCCAAAAGAAAATCATAATGACGTCAAGCTAATGGCAGAGAAAGAGGCCGCGACCCAAAGAGGCTAGCGCAGAGTGAAGCACTGACGTGCCAAGCCCAAATGCCATCCCTTGGAAGATGGAATTTGATGTGGAAGCGGGACAATCGCATGCGTGCTAACAATTTCCCCTTACTTTGGTCGAATGAGCTCCCAGCTCTTGGAAGCTTCATCCTGCCAGCCACGATTGCAGATCCTAGCCCAAACGCTCACACTGTGGTCGCACGTGGATTTTTGAGAGAACGATGGAGCCAGGAGCCTGATGCGCGGCAGGAATCTTGCTGGGCTGTCTCGTTGTCTGGGCACCGCATGTCACAGATCCAGGAAACCAACGCATGAGGGGTACTTCACAGCAACTGCCGTGCCTTGATTGGTTGCGCCAACTGTTAACAGGTGAGGTATCAGCCGTTGGTTCACCATGGCCGGACGAAAACTTCCGCCCATGTCTGCCAAGAGCAATTGGTTGCAAACACCTGCTCCGTTCATTCATCTGATGAACTGACGTATTTTTTTTGTTTTGCAACTCGCAAGATGTAGACAGAGCCACTGGTTCATCTTCATCAATTGTCAGGTTTTGGGATCGAGTCTTGAATGCGATTTAGTTGGGAAATCGCTCAGGTCACATGTTGATGCTACCATGCTGGAAGCATCGATGGATGCGTAGTACGACGGGGCCGGTGTAGACGGGCTCTGTCTCGGATCGAGTCCCCTCAGACACGAGGAGTCTTCCCCTGAGCGGAGGGGCTGCTATCCTAGAGTTTGGAGACCCTGCGCAAACTGCCACATCTCGACCATGTCCGGCTTTTGTTAGGGGCTCATCCAGTCCTGCCGACGCAGTGTACACGAGAAGAAAAAGCGGGGTTGGCGGACCACTCAAGAGGTACCTTGGTCGCTAACGTCGCGCCCAAAAGGTACCAGCCATAGATCGGAGATCGAAGCTTCAACATCGATCGAAGAAACAAACAGAGTTTCGTTGACAGCGAAGCGCCCGAAAGGCACCGCCACTTCCCATCTCCCAAAGCAGTAGCATGGCTCCAGTTCTCTGGCCCGGTGTTTGTAACACCCGCGACTTCCACTAGTTTCCTCTGGCTAGCCAAACTCTGTCTCCTTTTATATTCTTCCACTCTCGTCTCTTGGCTTTTCCAAATTCTCTCGAGCTTAAACATAAGAGCCCATCAACCACTACTATCAAATCGAAACTCTCTCTCTTCGCCCGGCTGTCCTTGACACCCATCCTGCAAACTGTGATCCGTGATCCGTGCACCATCAACAGCCGTCCTCATGGGTAAACGTGCACCATCAACACGACCGTCCGAGACGCCGCAGGACAACACAGCCGTCAGAGAGGTAAGTCACAAGTGACTCCACGCTTGCCTACGCTTTTTGCAATGGCTAACAGCTTCCTCAGCAAAAGCCAACCGTTTCCCACAAGCGACGAACCTCCTCAACATCTCAGCCAGCCAAGAGCGACACAACCATGGACAAGTCTGTCAAGTCCAACTTGGAGAACAAGGAAAGAGCCTATGTGGCTGCTTCTCGTCGCATGGACCGAAGTCTCGAGGACCGCCTCAAATCCGCACACCAAGCATCCGAGGTTCACTTTCAGCGCACTGGCAAGCGCTTCAAAATCACCAAAGAAAATGTCGAGAAAGGACTGTGGTATGACGAGATTGATGACCTGCCAAGACACCGTCTGGCCGAACATACAATGGACTACCAAACTCGAGCCCGCTATCAGGAAGTCGACGAGCAATTCAACCAAGTCTTTGGGAGTGTAATGCCCCGGGTCCAGGCATACCCAGTTCAGTTCACGCCAACATACTCGCCGTATCCACCGTCACACATGTCTTCTATGCCAATGCAGCTTCAGATGCCCGTTTACTCAGGTGTGTCCAAGCCACTCTCGCAGTCTCCGTCCTTTGCTTCACAGCAGAGCTTCGGACTCGGCAACATGCAGTATTCGTATGGGCCGCATGAGTACCCTCCTCGGCAGCGGCGCACCCGTCGCTCAATCAGCCCAGCATCAAACTCGTCAGCAACCAGCCGGGAGCCAGCTGCATCGGTCTCACCGGTCTCGATGGGTACGTCGAGCAACCCTACCTCACCCGAGGGTGAAATCGACAACAGCGCCGCCGAGATCATGGCCTCTGCCTCGAGGCACAACTCGTTTGGCCACTTCAGCGCATCCAACTCACCTATGCTGTCCCAGGAGTTGTCGTTCCAGAACTTTATGACTGCCGCGCCCAACAGCAGTCCCGACACCTTGGCCCAGGCAATCGATCCTGAGCTTCATGGTTCTCCTACGGCCTACTTTGCCGACATGAGTTTTGAAGACATGGGCTCCGGTTATACGGATTTCGTCACCGGATATGACTTTCGGGAGCAGTCACACATCGCCGGTGACGGGCCAAACAAGGAGACATTTGTCGCTTCTGATACATCGCCCGTTGCTTCGGTGGACAACTGGGACGATCTTCTCAATCCTTCCGAGTTTGAGGACGTCGGTACTGCTTCCCAATGATCCCAAGGCTGGGAACGCCAAGGGTGATACAGCTGAGTCGAGCGTTCTGTTCAAATCTGTATTTGTACGCGATCGAATTAGTTTTTTTCGTTAATTTTGCCAATAGGGCGAGATTATCCCGAGTTTTTTTTTACTCGTGTTTGTTGGCTTTTTCTTTTTGCCGCTTGATGTGGTATTTTTGTTTGCGATTGGGATACACATGATAAACGAGGCGAAAAAACATGGGAAAAGGGCAAAAGAATAAACAAGGGATTGGGTGAGGTTTTGGAACAGGTCTGCATTTGGGCAAAGGGATTCTTTTCAACGTATTGGTACTACTTAATGGTAGAGGGGTGAGGATGGTGGTTGATGGGACAGGACTGAGGGGTTTCAGACTTCGGAGGGTCACCCGCGACCATGGTCACGCACACTCCAAGAGAGATAACAACAACAGCAAGGGGCAAGCGACGGTGTCGCGGAGTTTGGGATGCGGATGAAATGGCGTTGCGGATTGGGGCACTGATGCAGGTTGAGAGCCGAAGGCTGCTCTCTCCCGAGGAAGGAGATTTACATCCAACGACATTTACGGTTTACGAATTGTGCATGGTGGGATGATTTTGATACCCAACACATGAAGCATACGACACAGGGGATGAGGAGTTGGGGGGTTGGGGGTTTCTGGAGGTGGGGTGAGGGTGTATTTCTCTGGTTTTTATTGTTTTCTTAGAGAGGTCTACGGTGGTGTGATGTACCTCTTGTCAGAGAGATGGAGACCAGGACAGGTTGTTGCTTCAGTGTCTGGGTTGAATTGTGTCGTTGGGGGGCTGAAACACAATTATGAAATAAGAAGACAAAAAAAAATGAACAGAGTTCAGAGCCGATGTATTTTTAGCAAAAAGACTCTCGAGACCTTGCCGAAGGGTGGGGTGTTGGAGTAATAAAATGACAAAATCTTGTGTAAAACGTTGGTTATGGGGCCTGTGATGTGATGTGGTTGTGTGACTTTTGACAGAGCTGAGGTACTCTACTCTAGCCTTCCGAGCACGTCGTCACTTCAACATGTATCTCGCTCAAGGGGCGTCCAGAATTCCAGCCTCGACAAAATGTGGAAGAGGATACAATACTCGTGAAGGAAGAACTCGGGAACAGATTTTCTTTCATGTTTGTAAACGACCACCAAACTACTTGACCATGGAAGCAACAACTTCAAGACCGCGCTTATACGTCCACAAGCGCCCAACAAGCTATACAGCAACCGCAAGAGAACTGGCAGACAGGTTTCCCAGGGTTAGGAGCCAGCTCTCTGAGAGGGCCGAGTCTTCTTAGGTTGATATGGGGACCAAAGTGTTCCTAAAACCTCTCGATGGAAGTACTCGAAAACGAAAAAAAAAGGGGCGCCACTCTTCGTAATGCCTTGAGGCGAGTTAATATGGTCATCCTGGCCATTTCCCATGTTTGAGAGACGTTGAAGTTCAGCAGCGCTCACAAACGCCCCCCCCCCCCACCAAAAGAAAAATAAAAATAAAAAAAATCGACATAGCAAGGAACAGAACATCAAAACATAATCACACGTATTATCACACATTTCACAAGAAAGATAACACCATAACTCAAGACGAACCCCCCCACCCCCCACCCCCTCCTGGTTTATTCACTTTTTTCTCTCAGGCCAGAAAAAAAACTGTATCACAAAAGCCACTCCCCCGCCCAAATAACCCAGACCAGAGAGAATTTCCCCACAGAAACACCAGAACCGAAAATACCAGAGGAAAAAGCCCAAGCCAACACAAAGCCCCAAACCAGACCCCAGCCAAACCCAGCGCCCCAGCGCCTCCCAGATCCCTTCCCAGTCCTATCGTTCCTGTTTTTTTTTAAAAAAAAACACCAGCCAGCCAGCCACACAGCAGAGAAAACGCCAGGTCCAAGACCCAGCAGGGAGACAAAAAAGGACCACCACCACAATCCCAGGAGAGGCTCACACCCAGCCAGTAAGCAAGCAAGCAAGGAGCTCACTCCTGCAGCCCATTCTCCCTCCGCCACGCCTCCATCACCGCCGCCATCTCCTCCTCCGTCATCTCCTCATCTCCACCCTCACCACAGCCACCAAAAGCTTGCTCTTGAGCAGGCTCGGGCTCGGGGGCAGCAGCCGCGAAGCCGCCGCTCCTTTCGCCGTTGCCAGCACCACCAGCACCAGTACCGGCCTCTCCACCACCACCGCCCACCGCCGCCACCGCGGGGTTCTCCTCCTCCTCCTCTTCCTCCTCCTCTTCGCGGGCGTTGTTTTTTTTCTGGGAAGGAGAGAGTGATGTTAGCTTTGTGTTCAAGGTAGCAAGATATTTATTCACAGCTGCCTTGGCATTTTATTCTGGGAAGAATAAGTAACAGAGCAAAGAAGGTTGGCCGAAGCTTTCGGCACTGTCGAATTCAACCTCGACAACATATTGACTACCATTCCTTCACCACACCATCAGTAATACTCCTGAAGGAGAAGAGAAGCCCAGTGTCATGGTTGTGTTCAGACGCCTTGAGAGGTCTCTTGCGAACGCTGCTGTTGTTGTAGGTGGTCCTGCTGGCATTGCGTCGATGATGAGAGTCTCGAGAAGCGGGATACCAGCGTCTCTGCTGGAGCGATGGAGTGGTGGTGTGACGGGGCGCGAGGACTCAAATGGGCAGGATAAACAAGGCAAGTGTTGATGAGACAGAAAAGTCCGAGTAGTCGAATGTCTGAAGCAAGCCAAGCCAAAACCAATGACAGTCTAAAGCCAGATAAAGAAGAGTTGGAAACAACTGCAAAGAAAAGCAGAGCAGTCCAAAGACATATACAATCCCTCGACGTCCGAGACCAGTCACCCAGACAATGCAACCGTCAAAAACAGCCGCAAGTCAACTCGACCGATCCAAAATAAACGGGAGAAAGTGACAGTCCTCAGACTGACGCCACCAAGCCCCAAGATAGAACCAGACATGTTCCGTCCATCTCGGACGTACACAAGCATCCCCCTCAACTCGACAAGAAAGCAAGTCAACGACTCAACTCCAGCAAGGCCACTAAGCCAACTGGCTGCCCAAAAGCAAAAAAAGAATCTGCACACCAAGAAAAAAAAGAAAAAATGTACTTACGGCCTTCTTGGCCCTCTTCCTGGACCCCCCCTGACCAGGGGCCGCGCGCTTCCGGCCGCGGCCGCCGGGACCGTCACCCACCCCAGATCCTCCGCGAGGCTGTGGAAAAAAAGATTGTTAGCAAACGTGAACGGAAAAAAATGGTATACTCCCAGCTGCCAGGATAATGTTCGCTCGCGAGTAGGAAAAACCGGGACTTGGTGAAAACATACAGGAGGAGGAGGGGGGGGCGCCGAAGAGCCAGGGACGCCGAACGGCCCCAGGTTGGTCGTGTCATATCTAGTAGAACATCAGCATTTATTTGCTTTTCAGATTGGCATTAGATGTAGATCGCTGACATACCCCGACCGCCCCATCTTTCTTGCCTCTTTTTTCTTTTCTTTTTTTTCCAAAAAAAACAAAAAAAAACAAAAAAAAAAGCAGAGGGGGAGTGTGTGTTTGTGTTATTGCTAGAGAACAAGGTGTTAGTATATAGCATGTTGATAACCATTCCCAACTCTGAGATGCTGCTGTGGCTGAGATTTCAACCCCAGCCGCTTGTCTCGTAAGGAGAGGTGATGGTGTGGTCTCTTGCGGTTTGATGTACTCCAAGGCGCGCTCAGAAGCGGACAAAGTGTGAGGGTCGATGGTATTTTGCAGATTGTCATGGATGAAGCTCTCTTGTAATCCACATCGGAGTAGACGCCGTCCTCCAGCAGGTTATTTTCGGACCCAGTGGGAGCTCCTATCGGTGTTGTGTCGATTTGCCCAGCTAGAGTATATCTAAACTGGCGACATGGCGGTGCCTGTACTGTTGTCAAGGACGCTCGCCAACGGCCATATCCAAGGCCAAACAAACTTGAAGACGAGCGAGTGTGAAGTCGATGGAAGTTGTAGATGGCGGAATCTGGTGTCAACAGAAGTTGTTGACGGCCAAACCTGGAGTCGAAGGCATTCCCAGACCCAAAGTAGTCGTCTGTCAGTCCCGAATCGCCGTGGCGACCGACCCAAGACTTGACCACCCCTTTTGAGGTAAACAAAAGAAGCAGCCGTAAAATATCGAACGATGAAGCCAAGAAAACAACCAAAACAAACAGGAAATGACAACTTACTTGTGGCGTGGGCAGGGCGAGCAGTTTTTGTTTGATGCCGTGAGGAGAGAAGAAGAAGAGAGAGAGAGGGCGAGGCCAAAGTTGATCGAGATAATATCAAGTGGAAGGCAGGCACTGCCTAGCCCAGTGCGCGCGAACAGTACCCGGATGGCTTTTTCGTTCTTTCCTCAATAGCTTATCTAGAGAACTATCACCAGGGAAGTCGGCGATAAGGGGCCGATGTTGGAACTAGTTGGGATGACCGGTGACGCGTTCTAGGGTACGCAGACACTTCTGTGGAAATAAATATGAAGAAGCAAGACACCTAGATTGTTGAGTATTTACCTTGAGAATCAGTGAGAAATTCGTAACTCTGTCCTTTGACGGAGCGTCTCGCCTGCAGAGGGGGTTTTAGATGAAAGCATCGCGTACATATTGCAGATTGAATCAACAAGGGGGTTCTGGAAGGTGAAAAGTAGGTTTCCTGATCTTCTAAATTGGTCAAACACCAAACAGTCTAGTTATATCTTGCAGAGTTTTGGCCTGGTAGTCGCTAACTTTGTTGCTGCTAACAGCCACTCGACCGTCACCATCACCAGCTTCGATTTCACCTGACGTTTGCTCACCGTCCTCACAGTAATAATGAAAGCCCCACCGAGCTCTTCAACCTTTATGTAACATTCCGCCACCTTTGTTCACCTTTCAAGTTGGCCTTTTGTTACCAAAGTCGACCTTTTTTGTCTTGACGCATCAGCGACTCCACTTTTACCCCTGAGAAAGACAACAAAACAAAACAAACATACCACCTAAATAGACATCACTATCGACAGTAGCAATGTCACCCTCCTATAGCGATAACGGCGTCAACCCTCACCCGGTATCCTTCCCCAACTCAAGGCCAACCAAGATAGTCCGCTCCACCAGCGACCGCTCGCTCCCCCCCGGCACCCTCGCCCGCGAGAACCTCACAGTCTTTCCGCCATCAGCCACAGCCCACCCAGCACAACTCCCAGAACATTCCTTCCTCCCCATTGAAACTGCCCGTCGACTTGCCCTCGGTGTTACTAAGGCGCAAGCTCTCCTCTCCCAGGCCGGAACCACACAATACAAATACGTTGGCCCAAAGACAACGGTCAACCGCTACCTTGACCTCGTCCCCGAAAACCCGCCCAGCCTCTCCAGCAAAGAGTCTCCATCCTCCATCATCCCTTTCACTGGAGCAGAGCCGGAGGACCCGGACCGGGCACTCAAGCGCGGAGAGAGGGTTAGACAGAGAGCCTTTGAGAAACTCCAGCAGCAGAGGGAAGAACAGCTCGCCAAAGTGACCCTGTTTCCTTCTCAGAAAAAGGAGGTTCAGAGGCCGCTGAAGAAGCACGAGCAGCGCCGGGAGGATGCCTACGAGCGGGAACAACTGACTAGAAAGGCTAGTGGTGAGGATTGGGCGAGGAAGCATCATCACCCCGAGGTTGCGAAAAGAGAGCTCAGGGAGCAGCAAGAGCAGGAGCGGGTAGAAGAAGAGAAGAGGCTCGAGGGGGAACGGAGACGGGAGATTGCGAGGGGGCGGAAGGACTTTGATGCTATCACTGCTAGGGAGTTGGAGAGGAAGGGGTATGCTTAGAGAGTGGAGGGCTAACAAGGAGGGGTAATGGGTGGTGTCGGGTGGTGGATATCCCAGGCGACCATGAAGCAGTCGATGTACTTGTAGCAATCAATGTATCACGTACATGTAATGAAGTCGAAATGTACATCTTCATACCCATTTAGCTGTCTACATCGTCACACTTCGCCCCCCTCCCCCCCTAATCTGATCCGTTCCAAAATCCCCTCAACCCCCTCATCAACCCCCCTAACAACCAAATCCGGCCCCTCCACCCCCAACCCTTCCCCAAGCTGATCCCTCCACCCCCCACCCTCCCGATCAACCCAACAAGCCCTCAACCCCGCAGCCTTCGCCCCAAGCACATCAAACGGATTCCCACTCACCAACCAAACCCCCTTTTTCTCTGTCCGCCCAACCTGCCCAACCAGATACTCATAAACCCCTGCATCAGGCTTATACCTCCCCACACCCTCCACGCTAACCAACCCCTTAAACACCGCCCCAAAACTCCACAAATCCGAACTCCTATTCACGCTCGCACCCATCATTTGCTCTGTCCCGTTGGAAAAGACATACCCCTCAACAAGCCTCCCATTCTCCGCCATCGTCGCCAGCGCGTCCGGAACCTCAGGAAACATCGACAGGTTATTGTAACTTGCCATGACAGTGTCGGTCTGGGCAGCCGTGATCTCAGGGATGACGTGTTTGAGGGAGGAGCGGGTGATGGTCTCGAAGTCGGTGTACCTCCCCATCGAATTACACCGCCAAGTGTACTCCAGTTGATACCGCCGCCACAACCCAGCCAGCTCTCCTGCTTTTTCTGCCGGGAGGGATAACACTGACGAGAGAGAGGAAGAAATGGACGCGGTGGAGAGGACGGTGCCGTAGAGGTCGAAGGCGATGACGGTTTTGGGAGGCATTTTGACAGAAACAAAAATCGTGGTGGGTGAAAATGGGGTAGGAAATGAATGGGGGGGGGGGCGGAAACGCTGGGGTATTTATCGTGAGTTGATGTCAGAACGTGAGCGAGATCAGAAGAAGCTGGGGTGATATCCGGCTAACGTCTGCCTACCCCGCGTCATATGATCGCCGCTAAGTCTCCCAACACGACCCCGAGGAGAAAATATGCCGAATGCAGTCAATGTAAGCAAGGCGGATGGCCCCAAAAAGGGTGGGTTTATGAGAAAGGCTGCTTATATTCTGGACTTGTCTCAGTCAGACCAAGCTTACGTGGTGTGCTCTTCTACCATGGAATATTCAGGGTACGGGTACGCTACCCGGGTATCATTTTACAACGCTCAACCATCAATCTCCATCGCGTCCTCCTCTACTTTTGGCTTCTTCTCCTTCTTTTCCTTCTTTTCCTTCTTCTCCTTCTTCTCCTTCTTCTCCTTCTTCTCCTTCTTCTCCTTCTTCTCCTTCTTCTCCTTCTTCTCCTTCTTCTCCTTCTTCTCCTTCTTCTCCTTCTTCTCCTTCTTTTCTTTCTTCTCCTTTTTCACCTTCACCGGCTCCGACTCTTCTGGTTGGTCCTCTTCCATTTCCTCAGGGAAAGCCTCCTCTTGTAGCGCTTCAGTCCTCTTCTTGAGCGCCTCCTCCTGCTTCTCCAGAGTCTTGGCGCCCCCAGCAGCAGCAGCCAGCCGCAACTCCTCCGGATTCGTCTCCTTTGCCCACCTCACCCAATCATGCCGGCGATTAGACCACAGATCACCCTTCCACGACCTCCACACATTTCGCCCCAGCCAGCTCTCCCTCAGCTGTGACTCACGCTGCTCGAGCTTAGCCATAACATTCTCCTTCAGGTGGAAAGGCACCACCGGCACGTCCTTGTCACCCTTGGAGGCCATTGTGATGATGGAGCAGACGATGGGGTTGCCGTGATGAGTCAGGGCCATATCGATGATGTTGGGCAGCATGGCGGCGACAAACAACTTGTGGAAGTGAGGGAGCTGAGGTGGCGTGCTGAGAGCCTTGGTGACGATGCCAGCAGTGTGAGCATTCAAGGTTGCCATGCGCAGAATCTTGTCAGCTGGGAGGGCCAAGAGAGAGGTTTGCATCGCCTTGGCAGGGTTCCCTGGGATGGAAAGCAGAGTGCTGACGATCTGGCAACCATGCGACAGGAGAGCAGTCTTGTTCTTGACCTCAGCAGGCTGGAATTTCTTCTCTTTGGACTTGTCCTCCTCGTTCTCTTCCTCAAGAGGGCACAGCTTGGGTACGATGTGCTTCCAGTTGTTGTTGCAGGCCTTGGTCAGCGCTTGAAGAAGCTGGTCGAGTTGTGCAGTCGCGTTACGAACATGGCAGCGCTCAAAATACGTCCTGACCACATTGAGGCGCCCCTTTTCAAGAAGAGCCCCGAACTCGGGGAGGGACTTCTCAACAGCATCGGCCAAATCTTCCTTGCTGAGACGGTTGAGAACCTTGATGGCTGGGTACGAGGCAATGTCGTTTCTGAGGAAACTCTGGATCCGTGGTCCAAAGATGTGAGCGTGCAGGCCCTTGAAGACTTTGCCTGGGCAGTGGGTGATGAGCGTCTCGAGAAGTCTGGATCCGATTGGGTCGTAGACCATGCTGTTGACGAATTCGCATGCCGGCGAGGTCTCCTCGGCGAACGATGCCGGCGCGCCGGGCACAAGCTTCTCGAGTAGTGTCTCCTTGACTGGCTCTTCCTGCCTCTCCTCCTCTTCGCCCTTCTTCGCCTTCTTCTTGCCCTTTGGCGCCATGGAGAGCTCCAAGTCCAACAAAAGTTGCAAAGTCGGATTTCCAGTAGGGTGCTTGGCCAGGACTCTCAGGGCGGCTCCATCCAGGTTTGCTGTCGAATCGACGATAATCTTCTGGATAGCGGCAGTAAATGAGGACGGAACAGTCCTTGTCTGTGAAATGAGCTCGCTCGCGTTAGCCGCAGCACCTTCGACTGTAACATACTCCTTGCTCTTGCCCTGCAGCAATGACTTGACACCAGCCTGATTCAGAGGTCTCCCGGCCAGAACCAATAGCAGCACACGCAGGGCGTGCGACCCATATCGATCCGACAGCAAGAACGAAAGGTGCTCCTCAAACTCATCCAGTGTCAACAGAAACAGATCCTCCATGCTCATCTTCTGGTTCTCGGTCAACTCCTCCTCTTCCTGACCCTCCACCGGCACCTCCTCAGGCACCTCCCCAGCCAACTCCTGCGTCACCACCGGCGCGCTCTGCAAAAACAGCTTCTCACAGCAATGGCTCGCAAATCTGTGCGTGACCAGACTGATGAAGTGCCCCGAAAACGCATCAAACATGCTCTTCTTCTGCTTCGTATTCGACAGCAGAATCAACCTCTCCATCAGCCTCGAGCAAGACTGCGAGCTGGCCAGCTTCAACTCCTTGCCCTTGGCCTCCTTGTAGACATTCGCCAAGAAGATGGTCTTCTCCTCCTCGGATGGGAAATCGTTCAACTCGAGTAATTCGTCGGCGTGTCGGAAATATTCCTGCTCCTCCTCGGCGAGCATGCCAAAGAATTCCCTTTCGAAGCTTCCCGGACCACCGCCACCGCCACCGTCACCGCCATGGCCGTTGATCTCTGCCTCTACCTCTCCCCCTTCATATTTATGAGCCCTGCGCTTGTCTCCGACGGTATCAATCACGAATCCGGGGATATCTCCATTGCCGCCGTCGAGGGGGATGAAATCGGCGTTGTGCTCTTCGTCGCCGTCGGTGCGGCGCTGGCGTTTCGCATCGCGGACTTCCTCTTCGGCGTTCTCGTGGCCGCGCTTCTTGGCGCGTTTTTCGTCACGAATCAATTGGCGCTTGGACTTTCTGTTTTTGCCCATTGTGTCGGTGTGGGAGGTGATGTACCTGGTTGATGATGTTGACCTGGGACAGAAACCTTTGCGAAAAAAGATGCTGGTGAGCTCCGATAAGATAAGAACTTTTTTGTGCCAAGCCCAAGATGCGCCCGCCTTAACCAGCCCGCACCAACCCTAACCCTTGCTCTGCAACCATCCTCACCCAAAAGAAATCCGGACCTTTGATCCAGATCCAACGTCATCTCCGTTTGCCGTTGAGCCGTTGCCCCTGGTTGATATCTTGGTCAGATCTTCGGTTCAAGGGCCGGCGCGGGTAAGGGAGGCACAGCTCAGGCACACCATGATACCAGTGTATCAAGTCTCTTTTCTCCTCCATTCTTACGTCTGAAAGATAGCTGTAGAGGAATCCACAGCCAAGCAGTTAGCTCCTCTCAGGTGGCAGAGAGAAGTGACATTGACCCCCGCCGCTGCAGTGCTTCAGCTTGGCATCAATTCTCTGAGCCCTCGTCACTCGTCACTATGCGTCTGACACCAACAAAAGGCACCCCAAGTCACCGGCCAAGCGTCCCTCTCAGCCTTAACTGTGCACCCATTCTGATCAAAGTCATTGGGCATGTGAGCATCCCTCGTGGATCTGGGTATTTTTAATTTCTTGGTTTCGTCGTACATACTTCTTATTCTTTTCTTCTTCTTCTTCTCTCATCATGGAGTTGATCTCCCTTTCGTTTCTCACCTTGGCTACTCTTCTCCTGGGCGTCGCCATCATGGCCTTCTTCCGGCGCAAAGATGCGTCGGCTCTGGAGCCCATCACCAAGATGCTATCATCGACGGCGTTTATCGGCTCGCAGACGGGAGGAGAGTCGGTCATCAACTATTCCTACACGGATCTCCCGTGGACGTTGATGATGTGGGATGTTTATTATTTCTTTCATTATCTCTGGGCCATATTCTATGTTGTTTGGCCTGTGACGCCAACCGACTCGGCCGAGCTGTCTGAGCTGTCTTTTACTTATGGCAACGTGCTAAGTTTGGCGGTCCATTTGGTCCTGGTCGTTTTACAGCTGGCCTTCGTTGTTGCGTTGCCGTTTATGATCATCTTGCCAGTGTGGACGGCGGTAGGGTCGATTGCTGGCTTCATGGGGGTCAACAAACTGCTGTGTGTGATATTGAATGGCAGAGGAGGCCAGGTCGAGTATCACAGTGATCCAGAATATGCCGAGGCGAGAAAGGAGCATGAGGGAGAGGTGTGGATATTTATCAATGGTGTTGCTGCTGGGTATGCCTCTCGAGGTGCTGTGGGGGCGTTTTGCTGACATGGAATAGGGAACACTGGATGAAGAATAACTTGAATCGTCTAGCTGTCACCTTCAAGCGGCCCATCTTGGGTATCCATAACAAAACGTCTGTCTTCTCAATAGCAAATGGCAACAGACGAACCGAGGGCTGACAACAATACAGAGCGGGTATACTTTTCGATGTTGTAGAATGCTGTATCCAGCGAAACTGGCAGTGCAAGTGTCATATCCCGTTGCCGGCCCGGGTCCGTGTTGCTAACTTCTTCTTCAGATGCCACTAAAGACGTCCGAGTCTGCTACCGCATCATCAAAGAAAAGCTCTACGATCCTCAAAACACCAAAGTCGTCTTCATCCTCCACTCTCAGGGTGGAATCCAGGGCAGCCTGATTATCGACTGGCTGCTTCAAGAACTTCCCCAAGACATTCTCTCCAAGCTGGAAGTCTACACTTTCGGTAACGCAGCCAACCACTTCAACAACCCCCACCGTCACGTCCGGTCCCAGAGAGCCGCCCTGAGAAACCCCCTGGCTGCCAAGACAGATTCCACTCTGGAGGAGAATGACGGGACAATCACCAACGTCACCGACGACACAGCCCCAAATGCCAATGCCAAAGCCAATCTCACTCCCGAACAACAAGAGGAAAAGATCCCCTCTTTGACCTCCCTTGCCTCCTCAACATGCTCCGCCCGCCCATCCCAGCTCTCGGACCGCGCCATCGGCCACATCGAGCACTACGCCCACACAACCGACTTTGTCGCCTTATGGGGCGTCCTCCACTTCACCACCTCCACACTCGACTCACCCACCATGCCCAGATTCATAGGAAGAGTTTTTGCCCGGTCTAGCCCCCGCGGCGGTCACCAGTTTGTGCAGCACTATCTCGATGGGATGTTCCCCCTCCAGCGCGACGCCAACGGGAAGCTCCTACGCGACAGCGACGGGAAATTGGTTGGGTGTGTAGAAGAAGGGGATAATGAGTTCATGGAGAGTGAGGTCATCATTGGGAATGACGAGGGGGCTGATATTGAGGGGGATCTGGAGGGGGAACAGGTGCAGATTCATAGTGTCAGTCCTACGATCTTGAGGAAGAGGGCAACGTTTAGGCGGGAGGGGGTGGTGAAGATGAGGGTCAGGGAGTTGAGTCGATTGTGGCAGTACAGAGATGGTGGGAGTCCGGAGGAGCGTAAGGAGAGGAGGAATAGGGAGGTGAGGAAAGGGGTTACGATCTGAGGGGTTCTGAGGTGGGGTGGATTTGGCAGCGTTAATGAGCGATTGTATACATACCAACTTGGTAACTACGGCACGCCATGGACAAGAGAACAGAGACGCCTTCGTGGTTTATACAACCATTACGAAGCTCGACCATGAACCGATTCATCAGAACCATCGCCAGTCACACCGTCTCAGACTATCCGTGACAGTCACGGATCTCAAATTAAAGAAAATCTTGTTGAATTTCATATTCGAGGATACTTTCATGGTGTTTTCTTCCTATTCACGCCTCACGATTGATATTCCAAAGTGGTGACGTCTTCATGCAGAACCTGCCGATCACCCACCACCCAGATGTTCTTGCCCCTCAACTTTCCCATCTTGTTATTTTTAGACTTTGAACAATCCCATGGCTGGGAAAACTCTTTGCTCGCTCGAGAGAGATTTTTATCTGTTGTTTCTTTTTCCTGGGATGTGCTTCACGTATTCGCCAAGGGCTCTCCACGTGTCAAAACAGTCTGTTGAGGTTTTCAGGAAGGGCGGACGATCGCCGATCTGGTTCAGACTACTTGTACCTTTTGTTGCTGCTGGGAGAGCACAAATTTAGGGATCTTTATTTTTTTTAACCTAAACCTGACTTCTACCTGACTCATGTAGAGGGTTCTCTTGAAGTCACTGAACGATCAGTCTCCCAAGTATGTAAACAGAGGATTAGTTACTCCCCAAACGAATCCTTCCTCCTCGCTGGCCAATCACCAATCCAAACCCTCCCACCGGCCACCTCTCCGAAAAAGCCCCTCTGTCCAATCCCACGGGTTTCCCATGCCGGTCCGGTGCGGCACCAACCCATACCTACCCAAAAGCCGTACATCCCCTCGCCGATCCCTTCGGAGAACAAATAAGTACCAGTACCTCCCTCACTCGCCACAACCCCCTCTCCCATCACTGTAAAAGAGTTGCCCAAAGAGGAAGCAAATGCATCTATCCATTTATCTCTGGTTCCATTTATCCTTTCCCGTCACGTTCCCCCCAGTCAAGTCAAGCCCCAAAAGGGACGAACCTCACTCGCCACACCCATCTTCCCCCCTCTGATTCGTCCTCTTCTCTTCTCCAACCTTAAATTTGAGGCTCCTGCACTGCTCAGGAGCACCCAAAAGAGTGGCTGTGAGATGCCCCGAACAGACGCTGTGGCGAAAACAATGAGGTTTATCTGAGATCTCTGCATTTACTACCACCATTTCATTTCACCCCCCCAGTGCCGAAAACCCGGGAACTTTTGGGCCAGAAATGTGGCTCAACTGTGCAATTGTCTGTGTGATGTCCAGATGACGCAAAGCCACAATCTTTGTGTTGCTGCGATAGGAAGACGTGGCTGGTGAGGGGGTGGCGAATGGTGACAGTTCGCCTGCTGAAAAAAGGTTATAAAAAAAAAAAGTCGGGAGGTTCCGTTTCCTTCACTTTTGTCGCGGTTGAAGGGGGAACGAACGAACTATTGTTAGAAAATGATCTTCCTTCTCGTGCAAAGTTGAGATGGAGGTGATGTTCATCCCAGATTATTACTTCTGATGATGGTTGGTCGGACCAACCCCCCCCTAAATTCACCCCCTGTCACCCACAACACTTACTCGCCACATCCCCCTACAAGCCACAAGAGTACAGATGGTATCCGACCATGCGTGCACACCCGTTGTTATCACGCAGATCTCCCGTCGCACAATACCCGCGGGAGCTGAACCCCATGGTCCCTTTCTCCCACCTGACTGGTCAAACCCCCATATATTCTTTTCCCGTCCCTCCGCGGCAGTGGGATGGGTGGGTGGTGTGTAGGTAGGGTTAGGTAGTGCCATGTGAGATATAGGGTGAGACATTTGGGGGAGAACCAACACTGGGCAGCAAGCAGTTGACACCGGAACCCGTGGCACACACACCCCATCCTGCAAGATGTGGCGAGTGACCCCGAATCGATAAGGAGAGGAGGGAAAGATATATTGAGGAGAGAGTGTGTATATATCCCTCCCCCCTCCCCCTCCTCAACCCCGGGCCTGTACATACATACATGCAGCTCACGGGTACGCAATGCGTGCTGCGTTGTGTGCATAACGTTACGTTGCTTCGAACTGTGTGTTGCTGCACGATGTGATGTTTTTCTCCGGTGGTGGTGGTGGCTCGTGATATGTTGTTGAGGACCTAGGAGAAAAGAGTTTGTGTCACTTTCCAGGGTCCCATCTGTCGAAAGCTTACCGCTTGAGGATCATGAACCATGGCCCCCAGCTCTTTGCGATTAGGGGTCGTTGCACAAGCTGATCATGACATTGTCTCAAGCATCCGTCAATCGTCCTGAATACTGGGTGATAGTTGTTTGGTGAGCGCCAAGACAGGAAAATAAAAAATAAATAAATAAAAGGGGGTAAGTCAAGACGAACAAGCGATGGTGAAAGCTAGACGTCAAGGTCAACATCATGATGTTCCATGTCCGAAAGACACATCTCAGCTTCTCCGGTATGTGTGCTCCTCCATCTATTCGGCATCATCAATCACACTTCGAACCTGCGACGGAAAAAGGCGAACGGCATGATCCGAAACCTGGGCTGATATCTGTACCACCAGCCTCAGTCCGTCTCAAACCCCCTCATCGTTCTTCCTATGCCATCGAGGTAGGTATGAAGTAAACTGGCTGTGCTTGTCGCAACTAATTCGGCTTTCCCTTTCCTCCCGCTGCGAGAAAATCCTGCACGGAACTTGAGGCGATTTGCGCGTCCCATCCTTCAATCTGGTAGATGATATGAGAACGGAGCGAGAATATGGAGGGAGATGCTTGCGATTTTTTTCTTCCCCCTCCACGGAGGGCCAAAACCGCACAGCCACAATTCTAGAACTCTCAAAAATCTCTGCAAATGTGGGTGCATAACTGTCGATCATCTGTGGCTGTCGTGACATTTTGGATCGGATTCGGGAAGTAGGAAGAGAACAACAGGAAAAAGATCG